TCTTTCTCCTGTGTCTTCCTATCGTATGATGGTATAAAGAAACTAACGGACCAGTTGAAACTCCTCCCCCTCGTTCAGGCCAGTAACTTCCTCCGAGCGTTTCGCACCATCCCTGAAGCTTCGGCTCTGGGTCTGATCCTCGCAGACTCCGACGAACAAACGGGGAAGGCCAAACTCGGCCGCTTAATCCAGAGCTGGAATCGCTTCATCCTCACGCAGCTCCACCAGGAGACGCAGGAGCAGGAGGGTCCGCAGGCCTACAGGGGGGCCAGCAGCAGGTCAGAGGAGCTCCTGCAAACATTTCAGCAGAGTGTGCAACTCAGATGGAAGTGAAGTGAAAGGTTTGTTTGTGCTCTTGTTCATGTGGCAGCTCTCTGGGCTCCTCCAGCGAGTCGGCCGTCGGGAAGCTGTTCGGTTGTGAAGTGGAGAACAGCAGTTTGTGCCGCTGCGGCAAGGAAACGGTGCGATCCTCCCTCACGTTGCTCTTCACCATGCATTATCCTGAGCAGAGCTCTCAGGGTGAGTCGCCTCTAAAACCCAAACTGACGACGAGCAGAGAAACATCGGCTGACGATGTGCTTATAATTTTGACTCTTTAGAAAAAAGCATGAAAGCGTTTGACTTTGCTGAGATCCTGAAGAAGAGCATCTGCTTGGAGCAGAGCACTCAGGCGTGGTGTGAGAACTGTGAGAAGTATCAGCCCACAGTGAGTCAGACGTCGGCTTCGAACACGACACCATCCTAATTTATGCTTCCGTCATCTGGATTACAGCGTTTTTATTCTGCCCTGTAGGTGCAAACACGGAACATCCGGTGCCTGCCAGATGTTCTGGTCATAAACTGTGAGGTGAACAGCGCCAAAGAGGCTGAATTCTGGAAAGTTCAAGCAGAGGTGACACACGATTAGTTTTTATGGTACAGTAGTCCCTCGTTTATCGCGGGGGCTCCGTACCCTGAAGACCCGCGATAAGTGAAAAACCGCCAAGTAGGAATAGTAGTACAAGTAGTAAGCGGTTTATTTTATTACACTCTTGCAATATTCTAAACAATGTTTCTAAACTCTAAACCAGGGGTGCCCAAAGTGAAGTCCGCGGGCCAAAGTTGGCCCGCCCAGCTGTCCTCATTACTATAGTAAAATTTCCTTTGAAGAATCGATGTGTTTGCACTCGTTGATTCCACCCATTGACTTTAATGTTAGTCGGCCTGACTACCATAATGGCACGCCACAGATTACACAGTAGCGTAGCTAATTTGTGTATTTTTGTAATAAGTTTAATAATTTATATTCTATTTTAACAGAATTCCTGCCATCCCTGGTAGCTTCTTTCCACTGAATAACATTTTCCTTCGACAGAGCAGGGCACTCATGGCTGCCCAGCACGCACCCATCCTGGGGGCCGGTTTTTGTGACTCACAGAGTGATTGCCTCGGGTCATCACATGTACCAAACCTCTCACTCAGGGTTTAAAATTTCCAATCATAACTGCACCCACTCTGTGATCATGTGACCAGAAGTCTAACCGAAATGACCAATGAGGGATGCTCTGAAGGACCCATTCTCCAAGATAGACGTGAATTAATTTCTTCAGATCGTTACTGTATTTTGCACCTCATGCACAGACCTGTTCATGAGGCATAAGAGTAAGAAATGATCCTGCACTAAAAACTAAATTATAAATATGAACTGGTTTCAGTGGTGATTTTAGCCTCTTAGGGGGTGCTCAAGCACCCCTAAATTTTAACAAAGCACCCCTGGGAAATTAAGAAACCATCATTAGGATTTTGTAAAGAAGCTCAGTTCTCAAACCTTAGATTCACCAAAATATTGAACAGTCTCAAACGGGCCAGTAAAATCTATGATTTTTTAATTTTTTTTTGCAAAAGTCCTGCCAGCTGTCAATCAGTCCAGTAGGCATGTCAGCAACTGACCGATCAGCAACCTCAATTTGTCCAGAAGTGAACGCCCCTTACCTGCAGAGCTGCAGTGGAGTTGCATTATGAACTTTTTGCAGTCAGAGAGATTTTAATAATAACTGAGTTTACATCTTTTGTTTCATGTTAATCTACTGTAATAAGCTTTTGTAAATGCACCAGAATGCAGGAAATGGCATCTACTTTATTCAAAATTCTCTGGGGGAGGATCCCCAGACCCTCCCACCCCCACTAGCGCAGCCTGTTCTGTAATGTTCTTTATACAGGATGGAAGATTAAATAACTATAATAAATAAATGGACTTTACTTAAACTGTTTCATGTATTATTGCATTTGGCCTGCAGCCCTCTGATAGATTTTAAATTTGGCCCTCTCAGGGAAAAGGTTTGGGCACCCCTGGTCTAAACGCTCTAAAAGAGCCCAAAATGTCATGATTTCAGCTCTCTGCCTCCGCTGCAACCTGCAACCTGCAAGCGCTCTTGGCCACGCCCACTTCTCTACAGCACGATGATCAGCTGCAGCAGGAAGTTTATCCTGCAGTAAGGACTGCACAGAGGTGCAGGAGGTGCTAAATATTTTAAAATAATTTATTTTAAAAAAAATTCCATGCTGTTCGTGCGGCTCATCCATCAATCAGCCAATTGTGTGTCATGTCCAGTCTTATTTTGAAAAACCGCAATAGAGCGAATCCGCGATAAACGAACAGCGACGTAGCGAGGGACTACTGTATATCTGTGATACATTTATAAATTCACATCATCTTTGTTTATCCTCTACATTAAGTGTTTATTTTTTATTTATTTTTTTACAGTATGCTTTTAATAAAGCTATGCAGAAAGAGGCAACAGAACCTGCAAAACCCACTGAACCCCCTCCCATCTCCACAGAGTGGTGCTTAAAGTAAGAACCTCAAGTTCTTCAGTTTTATTTGATTGATCCGAATCATTTGGAGCAGGTTACACACTGCTCAGGGGGCCACCGGTACCAAAAGCCCAGAGCTCGGGTCGGACATCCTGCAGTTATTCTCATTAAGTAAGGTTGTTTTATGATTTAAAGTCTAATTTTATTTAAAATGAACCCATTTGTTGGCTGAACTGAGCTCACCCATGGGCCTGATTTGGCCCCTGGGTCACCAGTTGAATAACCCTGATTTAGACTGAAGTGAATTAAACTGATACGTTTATAACAAGGAACATTTGGATCAGAGTGTATTTTACGTTTACCTCTTCATTCAGTGGGGAGGAGATCTGCAGCGTGGACAGCTTCGCCTTTGACACCCGAGCAGAAGATCTGCGCCACGTTTGGATCCCCGTCACTCTGAAGATGTCCATCAGTAAAACCCAGGGTCTGGAAGTCAGCAGCTGCTCCGAGGGAGAGGAGGTGAGGCTCTTTCTTTAGCCTCATCTGTGAGTCTCATACGTTGAAATAACTCATAACGACTTGTTGACTAGTTGAGTGCTGCTGAAGAAGCTGAGGGGGTTTCTCTGTATGACCTGGTGGTCACGGTGCCCCACATCCAGGACGCTCGCACCGGTGGTAACCTGGTTGCACACATCAAAGTGAGTGAAACCTACCACCAAAGAAAAGAGGTAAGATGGATGAGAAGCAGCTTCAACAGCTCGTGTCAAATCCAGCATTTCAAAGCATGTTTGAATTTCAGGGCGTCACGCACCAGCAGTGGTACCTCTTCAATGACTTCCTAATTGAACCCATTGATAAGGTAAACATTTCACTGTTTGGTAAATTAGGCGTTGTGTTTAAGCTTGAGTTAAATCTTTATTTTATGTCAAAGACTGAAGCTGCTCAGTTCGATGTGAGCTGGAAGGTGCCAGCCATCCTCTATTACGCCAAGAGGAACTACCACACCAAATACGACCTCCGCAGTGAGTTTCCTGTTAAACCAGAACGGTTCGCTTGTAGATTAACATCCAGCTTGCTTGAACGTCATCATTTGTTTCAGTTAAAAACCCCATCGATGCCAGCGTGCTGCTGACCGAGGCCTCGCTGGCCCGGAAGCAGAGAAAGAGCCATGCCACCTTCATCCCCCTCATGGTCAGTGAGATGCCGCAGGCCGGAGACCTGGTGGGGCTGGACGCTGAGTTTGTGACACTCAATCAGGTACGTTTGTTTTACTGTCACAGACACAGCTACATCTGTTGGTACCCGTACAGCTTGTTTAAAATCAAAACATTTTGTTTGTTTTACAAAGAGCTCAATAGTAGTGATAGATCTGTTGTACTCTTAGATTGTAAATCTTTGCTTTATAGTTGTGTTTGACGTAAACTAACATTTTATTTAACCTTTATTTATCCATGTTTGTCGACTCATTTTGAAGAGAGACCCATTTTAGACAGACAACATATGGAGTACAGATAACAATTAACCAAAAAAGCAATAAAATAAAAATAGTGTTATAAAAACACTGTTATTGTTAGTAGCGTGGTTCTCCTGGTCTTGTTAACATGGTCCTGTTAGCAGCGTGTTACTGTTAGCAGCATGTTACTGTTAGCAGCGCGTTACTGTTAGCAGCGCGGTACTGTTAGCAGCGCGGTCCTGTTAGCAGCGTGTTACTGTTAGCAGCGCGTTACTGTTAGCAGCGCGTTACTGTTAGCA